CACGTGCCACTTCTATGGTGCTGAGATCGCCGACTTCTTCCTCCTTAAAGGACTTTCCTGTGTTATTTTGGACACATTTCGTCTCTGGGACAGAAAAACTGAGTGAGCGGTCGGAGTTAGCTGTGAACTGACCATGTCCTGAAGTTTATATGACGGGGAGATGAGAAAGGTGCAGGGCCGTGTTCAAACTTATTGTTTTTTAATCCACTATTATGCATCAGAAAGACAATATAGAAACACTATTCCCATGCAAATACATTGATGTCCCTTACAGCTATCTTTGCTGCATTGGTTATCAGCCAATGTTTATGAATGATATGTTTTCTATCTGTACATTAGCTCCATCTCCACTTCACATTCATTGCAGCTTCACATTGGACCTTTTTTTCTTTTTGCTGTGCTGTCAAAAATAACATGATGTAGTTGGGTTACCTATTCATTTGCTACTAATATTATGATTGTCCGTTTTCTGTTATATTTGAACATTTGTTAAATGTTATTTAATATGTGCTAATATGTTCCTCCTTTATCTCTCAAATAAATAAATACATTTATCCTGTGTGACAACAATAAAGTTAATCTTATCTTAAAATACAAGCCACAATGACAGGCTCGGCAGCGCACTACAGGTTAGCATTAGCTACAAGTTAGCTTGAATACATATTCAAGTTAACCATCTGTAAAATCAGACAACATTTTTTATCACAACTGTATAACTTTTTACACAGCTTCAGTTGGTCTTTGGGAAACCTAAAAAATGAGCATGCTTCATGTAAACTTTGATGATAACAGCCGAAAACAAAGCAGAGCATTTTGCACCATTCACTTAAACCGCCTCTTCGAACAGCTGACGGTTTGTTTGTATCCGAGCAAATGAACCGGAAGTGGTTCTGGGACGAGACTTTCCATCCCTATAACTTGTCATCCCTAAGAAGATGTTCTCCAGTGGAATTACTTGAACTTTAACCCTAACCTTCTCACTCACTGACATTTCTGGATCTGAACTTCTAATTGATTAATCAAACAAATAATTGGCCATCTAATCAATTATCAAAATAATTGTTTATTACAGGCCTAATCAAAATTCATAATCAATAAAAGTTAAGTTAATTTGTTCAAAAAAAACCTTTAATGTGAAAAAGTAAGCATACAAAATTAACAAATGCAAAAGATGAGCTGCAAACAAATATTCCACATCTAATGCTGGATGTCTTAACCCTGAGGTTTTCCCCTTCTCATCAACTTTACATTTTTCTATCAACATCCAATGAAAATAACCTAGAAAATGTCTGCTGAATAAACATGAGGTAAGCAACAATAGCTAATGGTAATGTAATATCCCATGTTTATTTGCATTAAAATAAAAGAACCGTCCTTTCGCCAGTCAACCTTGGAAAAACTGCCTCAGAAAACCCAAATTGGTCAAGCTTTAATATTTTTACGTGGCTGTTTTAGTTGATTAATCATGAAAAATGTATGAGAGTGGTTCGCAGCAGCAAGCATCCTCCACATCAGAGAGCAGCAAAGTAATCACAGGGACTCGCACTCGAAAACAACCAAAACAGGAGCGAAACCAGGATCAAACCAGGGCTGAGGACGGGGGTCAGTGCTTATGAACATATGCACCCTGAGTTCCTACTATGACTGTAAGTGCCGCTACAGAAGTACCGGCGTCTGCATCAAAGCTCCGCCCACTTCTGTGGTTTTTCCCCAACGCAGGACAGGACGTCAGAGGACGCACATGTTTGGAATGTTATGAATGTGATTGAAAATGCAGATGTTCGGTTATGTGTGGATGCAAATTATTTTATAAACGGAGGGGGGGAAATATTCGGTTTTAATACCCGGCTACGTGTGGACATGGCCTTAGTGTTGCAGGAGGCGGACAGAGAGCACACGCCTCCTTATATAAATGTTGGAAACATGGACACATAATATTTTCTGGCTTGATGTAATGTTCAGTAAGAACACATTTCAGCTGTGTTATGGTCTGTGACAAGATATGTTTTGACCAGGATGATATTTAATAGTTATGATATGCTAGGGCTGGGAAATATGGCTGAAAACTACTGTATATCACAATATAAGTGATTCATATCGGTCAAATTGATAATTATTGATTGGTTTTTGTTTGTTTTTTAAACCTAAATAAATACATTTGTTGTGTCGGCTAACATGTTTATACTGTAGTCACGGGGAATGAAAACTCAGGCTGGAGGCATATTCACAAGCAAAGTGTCCCCCATTTTCAGTCATGGTTTGATCCTGGTTTAGTCCTGGTTTAGCTCCTGTTTTGGCTGTTTTCGAGTGTCTTGTGCCCCGGGACGGCATTGCATGGACGTGCATTGACACGGCATTGAAACACGACAACTTTAGATCCACGGGCGTAATGAATGGCGCGGTTGTTTTTTTGCATTTCCCAGAATGTTTTGCGGTTCATGCTCGGCCGGAATTCTGCCTACATCCCTTAGAATGCCGCGCCCTTCTGACTTAGCTTTTCTTCCGGAGTTAAGTTAAACCATCAAACATTTTATTGACCCCATTTTCTATTGATATTGAACACATATCTATCGCAATATTTATCGTTATTGTTTCATCGCCCAGCCCTATAATATGCGCTACTGCTATGAAAATCATAACAGTCAGTGGCATGGCGCACCAGAATGTCCGGTGGACGTTGGAGATGGAGGACCAACTCGTCAACCTATGACATGTCAACACCGTGAATGTTTGTATGAGGTTTTTTGTAAGAATATTATAACCGAAATGACAAGGAGAGGAATTGGGCAGAAATGGCTGCTGCACCATGATTGTTTACTCTGAAGTCACGCTTGATAATGAGAGATTTTGCGAGATTTCCCGTCTGACCTGGGAATGGTTTGTGTTATGTGTGTGCTTTGCATGATTTTGCCTTGTGGCTGTGAACCACACACTGTACAACCGAAGTGGTTAGACCCTTGTTTTTTTTATCTCCGTGTGTGTGGGGTCTCAGGTTTGGAAAATCAGCCAACAATTTTATAATCATCTTGTGTGAACCAGGCTTTAGTTTAAATTCTTTTACATTGTTTTTGGATAGTATTGGAACTCCTCTCAAAGGGTTGGTTGAGTCACCTAGTATCTAATCTAAATGCCGAAGTCTCCGAAAAATTGACTTCAGCAATGTGTTGCATTGATGAGTGGCTCAGTAAGTCTTGTCTTTTACTGAATTCAAAGAAAACTGTGTGTATGTTTTTCTCCAAACGCCCAACAGCAAGAATAAGCTCAAATGTATTTATAAAAGGTGAGGAGCTACAGATTGTGGACAAGTTTAAATATCTTGGTGTTATCTTAGACTCAACGTTATCTTTTAAAAATCATGTTAAGCATATGTGTAAAATTGTAAATTTTAATCTTCGTAATTTTAGACAAATCCGAACATTACTGCCAGAAAATGCAGCTAAAATGTTTCTTCATTGTATGATCTTTTCACATATTGAATATTGCATTACTAACTGGTCACTGACGAGTCTGACTACTTTAAAACCAATTGAGTCTCTATATAAAAAAGATTTAAAAATATTTGATAAAAAACCATATTCATTTCATCATTGCTTAATACTTGAAAAATATAATATTCTAAACTTTGAAAATTTTAGAACATTTAAAATGGCTTGTTCAGTTTATAAGATTTTGCATGGACTCTCTCCACCATCCTTGAATGAATTCATTAAGTTCATATCCAGTACAAGTGGTAGAGTGACCAGAGCCACCACCAGAAGTGACTGTGTGGTTCCTTATAGACGCACAGCGTTTAGTCAACAGGTGCTGTCAGTGAAAGGGACCACGGTATGGAACAGCATCCCAACAGAAATTCGAGACTGTACTACATTCATAGTATTTAAAACTAAACTTAAAGGTTGGCTGAAGGGGAATCAGACATGTAACCACTGACCAGTATCTTTGTTTTATGTCTCCAGTTTAATTGTGTGGATGATTTGTGTGATGATCTTTTGTCTTTTAAATGTCGTATATTAGTCTTTGTATTTTCTTGATCTGCCAGGGACTACAGATGGAAAGTAGCCATTGGCTAATTCTGGCATATTTACATTTACATGTTCATTAATATGCATTGTCCCTTTAAATAAATAAATAAAAATAGTATTTAAAAAAATTATATGACAACAATATTAGTGAGCCAGCACTAATGTATGTGTGTCTAATTTTAGTAAGTAAGTAAGTAATGTTTATTTATATAGCGCATTTTTACAGTCCAAGGTCACCCAAAGCGCTTTACTATGATCAGATTCCAGATATTATTCCTATTCCACACACGGTGATGACTGAAGGGAGTCGCCGAACACACTCGTGCTTCAAAGCCCCCAATCAACACTATCCATTCCTTCACTCACTCATACCCATTGTGTAGTGTAGTATTCTAATTTTTAAAAATACATGAGGTAAGTCTTTTCTCAACATTGATGTGCCCTTTGAGGATAAAAAAAAAAAGGCTGAAAAGTCTTTTCTATAATTAGCGTTGCTTTAGGCTCCTGCTGTCTTGCCCCCTGCCTCTGCTGACAGATGGGCTCAGATTAAATATTAAAATTCAGTCACAGATATGCAGTATCACTGCATACACACGCATCTCATCACATTACAGTTACCTGCTTTGACCACCAGTGACACAGCCTCAAACACTCATGCCTGTGCCTGAGATACTCAACAATATGCAGAGTTTAAAGCAGGGGTCTCCAAATGGTGGATTTTCACCAAAAGCAATTTGTAAACAGGCAGGCACAAGTGCTGCTATGTGCACAGCTGGGTCCTTTGGAGTTTGGAGCAAACTTTACACAGTTGTCAAAACAACTTTAGCAGTGTCTAAATCCAAGTGAGTCAGAGATGAGGACAGAGACATGTGTACGGAGAGATGGACGCTAGCGACTTCTATGTGTGAGGAGGAGGAGGAGCGAGACAGAGCTGATCATTTGAATCACCGTCTGTTACCTTATCATGTAGTCTGTTACCTTATACAGCAGCAGCAGTTTGCCGTCATGTCCAGGAGTGGAGTAGAGGTGGTACTCGGGAGGAGACCAATAATTTTTTCTGCAGAAATACTCGAGTAAACTCTGGGCAGAGTAGATTTGGCTCTGTTTGAGTGACAGGAGGCTGGTGGGGGTCAGGGGCATTCCGAGGAACAGTGGATACATGCACCGATCCACGCCATCTGCAGAACAAAAACAGCATAAAGATAGATTGGACTGTGCTTTTGTGGGCTAAACACAAAAAATCTACAAAACTTGTGGATCATTATTCTATGTTTTGTACATTATAAATTATAAAAATTGTGTTAAACCAAGATACAGTGCACAGCTGCAGGTGGAAGCTGTGTGTTCTCCAACGACTCCACCATCGTGGGCTGTGTGTCTGAGGGGAACGAACTGGAATACTGGTCGGTTATCACAGACTTTGGTCGACTGGTGTGAGCGCAACCACTTGTGCTTGAACACCAGTAAGACTAAGGAGATGGTAATCGACTTCAGGAGAAAACCACTTTCCCACACCCTACTGAACATCCAGGGGGAGGACATCAAGCTGGTGGACAGCTTCAAGTACCTGGTTTTTCACATCAATAAGCTGGACTGGTCTCATAATACCAACGCCCTGTACAAGAAGGGCCAAAGTCGCCTCTTCCTTCTGAGGAGGCTGCGGTCCTTCGGAGTGAGCAGGCCTCTGCTCAGGACTTTTTATGACTCTGTGGTAGCCTCTGCCATACACATTGCCGTCTGCTGGGCCCCGGGCAACACAGAGCGGGACAGGAGCAGACTGAACAAGCTGGTCAGGAGGGCCAGCTCCACACTGGGCTGCTCCCTGGACTCTGTGGAGGAGGTGAGGGACAGGAGGGTGCTCGTCAAAGTCACTGCAGAGATCAGACTTTACAATAAGACACTTTAGGTCACTGCTATTGCCACTTTTTTATTGTACATAATTTATCCTGCACATACTATCTTTTAAATCTTAACATGTTTGCATACTAATGTCTTTTGCACAATCTGAGTGATTCTATGCTAAGTGTGACATGTAAATGTCTTCATTGTGAGATCAACAAAGTTTATCTTATCTTATCATAGTATTTGTTAGATCATGTAATCAAAACATTTAAGTCCAAGTGCTTACCTTTACTCGAGCACATGACTTACTGTATTGCACACGTTCACATAAGTAAAAAATGAACCCACTTCCTCTTGTCTTTACTTAATCAAACCAAATTAACCCTCATTAAAAGTAAACATATCGCTACGTAAATAAATTGCTCAAGTCATTGTGAGGCCTTTGCTTCAATGGGAACAAGCTCTGCACGAAAGGAAAATATTATTAAGTTAGATTAGGTAAATAAGAAGTGAGAACTTTTACAGCAACTTTTGTGCTGCTGAAAAAATCTCCCCACTGATCTCTTCTTTGTCAATAAAGCCAAAAATATCTTTTCAAAATCCTTCCAAATTTGGAAAATTCCTGGGAGTCTTTTCTCTTTCAATCAGAGTGTCTATTTCCCCGTCCCTTGGCCCTGTTAGTACATCTCAGATGGCCATCTCTTCATGAATATTTTACTTTTAGCTTGAGCTGAAAATGTGGAGCTTTCCCATTTTGTGATTTGAGTTCATTTTTCAGCCTCGTCGCCAAAATCTTATCACTCAGCACTGTGTAAATGGAGACCAAACCAGATCTGTGGATCCATGGAGCTTATCTGTGATGGACCCAGAATCACTATGAGCCAAATAATGAGTCATTCCCTCAATATCTATTATCTTAAGTGATGAAGCAGGGTATATAACTGCTGGGCAAAGTTAGACTATGACTAAAACTATTTTTCCAATCAATCAAGCATGAATTGCAAAACATAGAAATGTAACACTTCATCAATCAACTACATCAATTATTGCTTTGTTAGCTGCTCTCATGACAATTTTTTTTTAATGTTTGAAGTTGTTTGCCTGCTATCAATCATTATCTTGATTTTTCTTTCAACGAGTCAGCTAAAGCTGAGTAACTAACTTTTATCAGACAGGTGTGCCTGTAAAATGACGAGGACTAATTCTATAAATCAGTGTTTTTTAACCTTTTTTGAGCCAAGGCACACTTTTTTCATTGAAAAAATCTTGCGATACCCATCAGGAGAAAATGTAAAAATAGCCTATATTTATATATATATTGACATTATGCTTTGTTTAATATTTCTCAATACAATGAATTACCAAAAGTCTGGGAATACAGTGGCACAAACTGTGTGAAAAAAATAAATAAAAACAATCCACTCTCGGCCCAAAAAGTCAAATAATGACTCACAGGGCTCTTAAAGCTGCACTAACTGACTTTGAGAAACTTTCGAATCAGAAGGCTGAGCTAGCGCTCTCTGCTCGCCCTCCCCGCACGAAGCTTTGGTCTGTTACGGATGTGCGTTCGCTGAGCTGCTGTCAGAGTTACGCAGGCACGGGGAGAACATGCAAACTCCACTCAGAAAGGCCCTGTTCCGACCGGGATTCAAACCCAGGACCTTCTTGCTGAGATTACTATTTTTCAGATTTTTTTTGGAAAAAGATTCATTCTCCTTAAGTTATATATTAAGGCAAGAAATAAAATGCTGTTTAAAATCTGCAGAAAAATACCCTCTGACCTCCATCATTCACGCGCTCACCAGATTCATACTGCATGTTTTTGGGTAAATGGTGAACCAGAGCGCCTGGAGGAAACCCACCCATAGCAGCACTGTAAGTTCTCCATAACAGGTTTGTGTCATATATAACTATTCTGTGAACAAATCTGACCACAACATGCATGTTACTCTTAATTTCTAAATTGTACAAAAATATGGAGATATATGTGTAACTTGGTCAAAATGAGATCACTGTCTGCCTCTATATCATTTTTGTCTGCTTCTAAATATCATTTGTTGATGTTAAATATAGGTAGGTCATCTGCACACTCTGATTCCTATTTCCACATAGGATATAGTTGAAAGAAATGATTAAATGTAACATCTGTCAAAATGAATCTTGCATGTTTGTACTTACATACATGTGTTTTCCTTTCTATTTGCGTTTTTTGTGACTACATTGTGACTACATGCAGCACATACTGTAAACTAACTTTTACAATAAAAATGAAAAAAATATAGTAAGGATTTTTTTTTTTTTTTTTAGCCCAGATACGTATAGTAGACCTTTATATTTTTATTTCATATTTTCACCCCGCTCTGGCTAAAAGCGAGGTGCTTTGACTTGAGGCCTGGTTTATCTGCTCCTCCCTCCACTGCACACATCTCTGAGCCTCTCTTTACATTTCACTGATGGTTTTCCGTCGGGACCCGTCTGTGTTTTGGCCGACAGGATGTTGACGCGCGGCTTCACGTTGATTGCTCAAACTGATGGATTAAAGCAGTTTAAGCAGATTTAGGGACATTTCTCGCAAGTATTCATCAAAAATAAATGTTACCGCTGCTTATCGTGTAAACACAGCAGAGACAGGACTGACTGAGTATGAGAAGACTTAAAGGAGAGGATGTCGAGGCTTTTTGGTTACGGTGATAGTTTTAAAAGTTAGAGAGCACATCAAACAATACATTACCCCATCAGCTTATGCATACGCGGGTTTTTGTTTCAATGTTAGCCTTTTTATAGCCTGGTCGTACCACACCATAGTACAAATGACATTTCGTACTAAGGTCTAGAGGTGCTCCATTGAGCTCCGTTTACAGATAGGAGGGGTCAACTCCTTTTGCAGATTGAAACGATTGGATCTGAGTTTACCGTGACGTATGTAATGCGCCCGAGTGAGTCGTTAGCATTTAGTCTAGCTTTAGCCATCTCCTTTGCCGCTAACGGAGCCCGTGGGGAGTAGCACCACAATCTTTTCCAGCGATTACATTTGCTAAACATTCCTCTTGCTCCGGCTTCAATTTCTTGATAGAACCAGACCGGATTACTTTACTATCGCATTCTTCACCATTTCCAAACTACACCCAGCCCATTCGACGCAAACTCCTGACGTCACCCACATCTAACTAAAACACCTGCCTCCTGTGCTCGCTGATTGGTCGGATGGAATTCAACCGATTGTAATCGCTAACACAGGGACCAGACCCGGACGTTGCATGCAGGGAAATTATTATTGAGCGGAGTGTACGGATGGCTAAGGCCAGGCTAGCTTTTTTATGTAATGGGACAACCTTGTGAAATGTATATAATAAATGAAATAACTAATATTTGTATTAAATATTAGTTCATAAATGCTTGAATTAGGTTACTATCGTAGATTTTCTTATACAGTATATTTGCCAATGGATGTTGGGGTAAGCACATATAAATTAAAGCTGCACTAACTGACTTTGGGATTTTGAAGCCGCGGACTCGCTGGCCTCGCTCTTTCTGCTCCCCTCCCCGCACCCACGAAGTTATCGCCCCCACACACACCCACTGTTGGGACGGAGCTAGTGTCTCCCAATATGTATAAATACATGGATATGGATTTGCACGTGGATGGCGTGACCATAGAACGATAGAACCGGGAAGCGCGGAGGAACGAGACTTTCTTTTGGATGGCTGTTTCGCTGTGTAACCAGTATCCGGTGATGAAGACACGAAGCTTCAGGTTAGCTCCTCGGCTTGTTGTGCTAACTCAGCCGTCTATGCTAACGGACCTGTAGATTTCTCACAAAAGTGGGGGCCAGTGGTGCGCTGTGATTGGTCACAATCTGCGACCCGAAACACATTCTCTTCCTTGTTTCATCAAAACTCGATCTAAAATATAATGTCACGCCAGCACAAATCTGCGCTACTTTTTCTTCAAAAGGACATATATCCCAATGCACTACATGGACATGGATAGCCCTTTCGTAATGAATACAAAAATAAAGTCAGTTAGTGCAGCTTTAAGAAAATAACAGGCTTAAGACGAAATAAACTTATTTCTTCGACAACATTTAAAAGTTCTATCCTGAAAGCTGACAAAACACTTACGCTTCACAGCATGAGGACTGTAGATTTGATCCACACTCTATAATTTAGACTTCTTGAGTCTTTCCCTTTCAAAGCACTGAAATAGAACTGCTACAGAAAAGGCACAAAAAAGCAGGTGTCAACTGAAAGCACTCGTAGAGCGCAGACCTCTGCCTAGAGGCGCCTTTCCATTGACTTCAAAAAAGTCCTGCTGAACG